TATATATATATATATATATTGCGAGGGAGAGGGACTGAATTATAACCAAAAATAGGAGGGACACAAAAAAACAAAAAAAAGTCCAACGTTTTAAGTACCACAATACTTGAGTTTTTTCATTTAAAATTGAACGCTGGGTTCATAGTATTAATTAACCAAGGCAGAGTCCCAGTCGCCACAATTAATCAAATTAAAGCCCGCTGCTAGAATAAAGGAGTAGGTAAGATTCGAAGTTTGATATTTCATGAAATGTCAAAATCCAAGAAAACGCATAAGCGAGTTATGCGTTTATTAGTTATGGATTCCAACGCCAAAAAGCAAAAAAAAAAAAAAAAAAAAAAAAATGCTATTGTTATCAATCCTTTCGATAACAATAGTGAGCTATACTGATTGCAATGCTGAAATATATAAGAAAACGCATTAAATAAAATGAAAAATCTCATGCAAAATCTAAACATCCTATTCATTTTATTATTTTAAAAAAATGCTATTGTTATCAGTCCTTTTTTGTGTTATTTCATTGATTAGCGAGCTATACTGATTGCAATGTTGAAATATTTAAGAAAACACATTAAATAAAATGAAAAATCTCATGCAAAATCCAAATATCCTATTCATTTTATTATTATTTTTTTAAAAAAAATGCTATTGTTATCAGTCCTTTTTTATGTTCTTTCATCGATTAGCGAGCTATACTAATTGCAATGCTCAAATATGTAAGAAAACGCAATTAAATAAAATGAAAAATCTCATGCAAAATCAAAACATCCTGTTCATTTTATTATGATTAATTAATCCAACGCTAAAAGAGAAACAAAAATTTTGCTATTGTTATCGGTCCTTTTCTATTATAAAGACAAGATAAAGATAACGATAACGATTGGCTTTTAACTAATATAACTCCCTTCTATTATTCAAATATCATGTGCCTTCTGTGTTTTGCATAATTAATTATTCTTTATAATTAAAGACTCATTTAATTCGCTGATTCGAATTGAGATGTGACTTTATGTAAGAATTTTTTATTATAGTAAAAAAAATTAAATATGACATCTTCTAAAATTTTTTTAATTGAAGGGTCTAAATTTTTTTTTCAAAGTACTCTTGAAAAACTAAACAATGAGAGAGAAAGAATAACCGAAAACATGTTACACGTGCACGCAATGACAAAAAGCACGGGCTCAAACTGATTCACAAATCCTTATGGGTAAAATGTCCGGAAGTTTGTTCCTACCCAAAAAAATTATAAGGAAATTTCCATGGTATCCACGACAAAAAGCTCATCATCACTGGAATTGGAATCATTACAGCAATCAATGGCTAATGCTATTCATCCTAACGTACATACGTAAAGGGTTTATATTTGAAAAGCGTGACATGTATTTATTCTATATAACAAGTTATAAATGTGTAGCATTAGTAAGGAATCAAGAAATTTCCTATTGTTATGTCTTTTTAATATATATGTCATAAAGATTTCGTCGCTTCTACATATTTGATGTATCAGAGTTTTTTGGACTGAAAAATTGATCTTTGTATGGGCAGAGCCAGCTTAGCTCTAGGGCAGCTGCATGCCCACTATTACCCCCTTCGTACTATTTCTTTCAATTTGCCCTCCATTTTTTTTAATCATAGTTCTTATGTAGATTTTTTTAGAAGTTTCTATTATATATTCTCAAAATTAAGCTGTAGAATAAACAAAACATAGGATTGAGTGAAAGAGCAAAAATTAGTTTGAAAATGGAGAGAAGAGAACGAAAAAAAGAAGTTTATTTATCGTTTTAAAGAAAGAGGCCGCACAATTTTGATCTGTCATTACGCATAAAAAAAATAATCAAGTATTTCACAAACATAACGTGATAATTCATAAAGTTTCACGATTAGCAAAAAAAAAAAAAAATATATATATATATATATAAAGTTTCATGATTCACGAAACTTTATTCCAATGTTTCCGGAAAATCTTATGATTTAGAAACACGTGTCAACGAACCCGAAAGTCATTTTGACAAACAACACAATGGTGTCGCTGTGTCTGAACGGCACGTGCAGTATCCTTATCCTTTTGAAACAAACACAATATTCTAGCCTCTTTGGCAGAAAATAAATAAATAAATAAATAAACTAGTGGTAGTAATGACTTGTTTTGTCAGTAGGAGTAATTACTCTAAAGTTGATAATATGAGTCACGACACGACAATACGATTTAAAAATGACATGAAATTCGTGGGTTAAGATTGAGAAAAAAGAAGTTCAGATCAAAATTGAATCGACCTGAAATTGACACGAAAAATACATGTCAATTTCGAGTTGGACCCGCTTAACTCGAACACAACATGAAACTCGTAGAAAACTAAAAAATACATATTTTTTCATTACATATTTTTTTATTTTATTATGAATTTGTGATATAATGATAGTTATACTCAAAATCTTTACGTGTCGTGTCAACCTGTAAAGTGGTCGTGTTTGTGTTGTGACTTTTAAAAAATTTCATGTCACGGATCGTGTTCAGGTTGACTGTAAATTTAGAAAGAAACGATCAAAACACGACACGAATACGATATGTGATACAAATTGACACCTTTAATTAGCCCATAGGAGTTGTCTGTTGTACGTACCTATGTATTTGCTAATATTTTACGATGTCGTTTTATCATTTCCAAAGTTTCATAGCAGAAACGACATGTAGTAGCCATGCTTTGGGGTCAATTCCGTCTAAAGTATTAACAGCTTTTGTTAATTCGAATCACAACTCAAGTTTTTATACAATATTTTTTTTATGAAAATTTAAATTCAACTTTTTTTACTATAGTATTTTTTTTATCATAAATTCACTTTTTAACTCAAACAGGTGAAATAAATGAGGCCTTAAGCCAAAGAAACCTTTTTAACAAGCGGTAATATGCCAAAAGCACCATAGTTAATAGTTTAGATGAATAAAAGCACAATTAGGCTTAAGTAGCATTATTTCCCGATCAGTAACTAAACTGGAAAGCGAAACTAGGATAGTTGAGAAGAAGAGAATCAATGATAAGACAATCCAAACAGAATAAGCAAACAGCTTATACTGAAAATAGTGATGATGACAATTTTTTTAATTGAAATGTTATTAAGAGTTTATTTTGTATTTTTTAAAAATACTGAAATTCTTTCAGAGTTTTTCTAAACCAACAAAGTTCATTCGTTTTTTTACGTATCACACAAAATTTATTTCTGAAATCAGATTTATGTAAAATTAGTTGTGCGAAAAAAACACAATTACTTTTTATAGAAGAAATAATGGGTGCGTTTGAAATTAGTTTCAAAATGATTTTATTGTCAATAAAAAGTAAAAATGAGATTGTTTTGAGAATCATTTTGAGACCGATTTTTAAATTGCTTTTGGCTGGTTTTTTAAGAGATTATTTTGAGTATAATAAAAAAGTGAAATCGTGTTTATTAAATTATATATTATAATATTATTGATAAGTACTAAAAAATGAAAACAAAAAAGTGAAAATAACTTTCAACTGTTTTTTAATTCTTTCACAAAAATTATTCCCACCGTTTTCATTTTTAAAATATTTACTAAACAAACGTCATTTTATTTTTATTTTTATTTTCATTTTTTACTTCTCAAAATACGTAAAAACCGTTTTCAAACGGTTCTAAACAGGCCCAATGATTCTCAAAAAGAATCCCAAGAATGGGTACCTTTGATTATAAGTTTTCCAACATTTGAGGGTAATAAACTTTGATTTCGACTAAAGTAGTTATTTTTCCTTAGACTCAACAAAATTGTACTAATCCTTAAAATCAAACACATATCACGCTTTTACATATACATTACCAAAAAATATTTTTGCATAAATAACTTTGACTGAATCTGACAATTAAAAGTGTATTTTTGTTATTTCAAAGAATGAACAGGAGAGAAATATCTCAACTTTCTAAAAACGCATATATATATATATATATATATTTAACTTGACTTTAAGGGAGAGTTGTAATAGAGAAAGAGAGATTAAACACATACAAGACGAGTTTTCTGGCTGAGACCCACATTGATGAAGATCGCAGCAATAGTTGACAAGGTAATTCCACATCCAATTGCGCGAAATCCTTTTATACGCATAAACCACAAGAAAAAAAAAATGAAAAAAAATAAAATAAAATAACATGAGATAAAATAAAAAACCATAAGATAATTTAAGAGCCTAAAAAGAAACCGAGACATAGTTTAGTTTTTTTTTTTTTTTCCTTCGTTTAAATTGCGTATATACGAGTAAAGAATTAATGGAAAAATTAACCTTGAAAAGTCTCCCAAGGGTAAACGACGCCGTCGTGATTCCGGTCGAAGAATGCAACATGCTTCTGCAAGACGTACTGTTCACTAGGCACGAATTTCCCAACATGATCTGTATTTTATGAACTTAATTTAAATTCATATCAAAATGATAAACTACTTGAAACAAAGAATTCATGGGTTTATTTTTATTTTTTTTTCCTTAAAATTGGTTGAAAATTGCTACGTACCGTTGGATGACACTGAAGAAGAAGCCATATAGTTTTGAAGGTAGGAAAATGAAAATTTTGTAAAAAGAGAGAGAGAAAGGTTTATTTCAGCCAAATTTTCCTTCCTCAAAATAGTAAAATATATTTTTAATTTCTTCTCAAACAAGTATCTTTTAATCCTTACTCGAAATGTAATACTATAGCTTACCGGTAACGGGTAAGCAATATTATAAGTTTCAGTTTTGTGTTGTCTTTCGTCTTAAATTGCATAGACGGCAATTAAGTTCAAAAAACAGGCATAAGGTACTTAAATAGTATATATATATTCATGTCATATCAAAGGAATAATATTAAATTTACTTATTTACTTTTAACAAATTATTATATAGTCAATGATTAATAATTATATAAAAGAATATTTTAGTTATTACATTCACAATATTATTATTTTTAATTTTAATAAACATAAAATAGGGAATAAGTTTGTTTCCCATTACATTATCTAATAATTAAGTAAACACTTAAAATAAAATAAATGACTTTTAATCCTGTTACTTTACTTTTTTTTCAATCTTATTACATTTTTCATTACATTCATTTACGATTTGACAAAGAAGCCCTCAATGTATTCCTTTTGTTGGCACCTTCCAATTTATAAACTTCCTTATATAGCATGTGCAATATCTATATTTTAGAAAAGAAGTTCAGTGTGGCTCCTTTTCTGCTAGTCATCTTCTAATTTTTTATAAATTCTTTTAAAAGCACTACTATCTGATAAAGTACATGTTTATCATAAACTAATAATTAGTGTTAGCTTTATCAAAAGGCCTCTAAATCAATACAATAACTTTTAAGTCGTCATATTATGGTTGTCACAGCTCAATATGGAATGTATCATACATTGTAAATGCCTCTTTTTTCGTCGAAAAAAAGGATTATGAAAACACCGTTTTGCTTTTGCGAGTTTGTTGACATGTATAGTAGTTGTTCAAATAAATATGAATGGAAAGGAAGCAATTTCCAACCATATACAATAAACTATACAAAAACTCTACAAGACAAATACGAGTATAAGGGGCTAGTGGTGGACTGGTACCTCAGAGTTGTGAGCGGGAGGAGAATATATGTTTGGTTCATAAATTCAGAATCATGATTCATAATTATTCTCGATTTACATGTATTTTTTTGAAAAAGAATACTGTAGCGAGTCACAAACCATGACACGAATTTACTAACTAAACGCATTTACGCGGTCAACTATTGCACGAGTGGGACTTGTTGATTCCTTTTAATTATAGGTACTGAATGAGGGCATAAGAACACCAACCATCCTCCTTTTTCATTCAGCAAAAAAAAAAAAAAAAATCCAATACGCTAATGATTTGTAAGTCCATAATATATATTTCATATTTCCGTGTCTTCCATAGAGGATTACTCGAATTTTCTACGAATTTGGATTTCCATCAAGTTAACGTTCTTATAAATTAGTGTTTATAATTATATTTAAATGATATAATCATACTCATATTTATTTTAAATTTGAAGTAACTATCACAATCCCTTAAGTTATTCGTCTAATTTTGACCATAACAAAATATAGGCACAAAAGTAAGTTCCGTTCCTTTTTTATATATTAGCAATAGATTAGTTTTTTAATGAAAAATTTAACAATTAGCTGTAATCCGCATGCATGCAACTCGTACTTTATTTATTTATTTTTATTTATTTTTCTCTTTTCAAGTGGTTGTCTTATAGCCAGATTCTAGTCTTCCAAGTATTCCTTAGCGTACCTGTCAAAGTCACCTAGCAATATATATCTTATTGGATTTTACACGCATGCATGTGTTCATCACTAAATTAATAAAACAAAAAAAATTTCGCAACATAAAATTCATGACCCGTTTAGTTTGTTGATTCAAATCTTTAATTCGAGTTGAGATATGACTTTATTTGAGAGCTTTTTACTGTAGTAAAAAAGTTAGATATAATTATTTTTAAGAGTTTTTTTCTGTAACAAAATTTAAATTTTAAACTCAAATCGGTAAAATAAACAGAGTCTAATTTCTTTGTTGCCGATTAAGCTTGACTTAACTAATAGCTTTCATAAATTAACCTTCCCTTTCCATTGGAACCTAAATATATGAAGAGTATACGGCAACCTAATCCAAACAAGTAAAAGAATGAAAGAACAAAACTTCAAAGCAAATAATTCTCAAATAATGGAAGAATATAATAATTGGGGGACAAGAAAGACGGATCAAGCAAGAGATGAGAAGAGAAGTGGGGATAATGCCTTCGCTTTACATTAACAACAGAGGAAATACAAAACTCAGAAGACTTGTGGGTGGGGATTGGGGAATGCGTTTTATACTCCTTTTTTTTTTTTTTTTTTTTTTAGAAAACAAATAATTAAAATGGCTCTCTCTTTTTTTTTTTTCAAAACAAATAATTAATTATGGCAGTACCTCACACGGTAAGCAATTACCAGTTTTGCGAAATAATTTTTCAAGTTCGACAGTTTGGCAAATCATGTGCACAGTTTGAACATTTAATTAGGCCAAAACAACAACATTATTTTTTGTATTGATGATGTCAAGAGAAATATTGCTACGTATCATGGAATATCACTAATTCTTTAACCAATCTTATTTTATTTTCTAGATTTGGTTTGAATTCGTGTTATAACCTTGTTTGAATTTCTAACAATATTTTAGTTAATGAATAAGATAATAATGGTTATAATTCAGTTATCAAGTTTGAGTTTCAAACAATATGTTTCATTCACTCATGGCGTTCAAAGAACGACAAATAATAGACCTTCTTCTTCTTCTTCTTCTTCTTCTTCTTCTTCTTCTCGGCAAGAAAACTGATCAGCCCACCCAGTTTGGTATCGGGGAAATTTTTCAAGAAATGCATTAAAAATATAACCCTATTTTATTTCTGTCATTAATTTTAAATTTATCATTTTTGCTATTAATATTTTGGTAGGATGCCTTTCATATTCTACGAAGGTATTTTTTTCTTGACACTAAGAATACATTTCATATTCTACTAGAATATGTTCTAATAACATAAACAATAAGATTTGATGTTATATTTATTTTTAAAATTTAAAATGTTTATTAGGAATACTATTGTTTTTGATAATATATTAGGAATATAATAATTAGAATGAAAAATAAGTTAATGAATCGGTGTTTATATATTTAGTACTTCAATAAATTGGGTGTGCGGATTATTTCTCACAATCGATCAATGTCGTCAGTTTTTTAGCCAAAACGGAAAAAAAAATAATGTTATGGAGTGCAACTTAACTTACGTATACAAGATCTATAATAAGAAAAAAAAAATTAATGAGACTAAATTTAATGTGAATTCTAGTTAGTCGAACTGTTCTTATATTTTTTCTTGGAAAAAAGTAAATTTTAAGGGTTTGGGGCCTTACAAGTTACAAATTATGTGTAGATATATTTTATTATTATTTGAGAAAATTACTGAACTTACTTTTAAGAGTGTACAGGTTTGGAACTCTAGATTTTTATCTCTTACTTTTAATTAAATACCCTTTTGCTAATGTAATTGTTTGATTAAAAAAGTATTAATTAAGAATAAAGGATAAAAATCTAAATCCATGCATTTTAAAGGATTCTTGTCCCATTTGCCTTTTATATTTATGTGGTATATATATAGGAATGACAATATTCCCCACGGGACAAGGTCCTGCCATGGGGCGAGGCTAAGAGACAATTCTCAAGGATGGGGATGGTGACAAAATTTAGTCCCCGAATCATAACGGGGTGGGGACAAGAGGAATACTCCCCCACCCGGCCTCAATTCCAAGAAATATCAACATCAGTAGCAGACTAAAAACGCTATTAATCACTAGTAATAGCATTTTTTAGAGTGCTAGGACAGTGGGCGCTATAATAGGTCCTAAGAAAACATAACGTTTCAAAAGAGCTATAGAAAGCGCTATAAAATTGAAGTATTATAGCGTTTAAGACAAGTTATTTTCATCCTCTTACAGCTCTTTAATATAACTACGATATAGATTAATAACTTTTTTTCCTTGTTATGTTCACACTGTTGTAACTTTTTAAAATTATTATTGATATCCTTTTGAATTCATTCAAATAAATGGTAATTCCGAGATATGTGATATATCTAAATAGGAACATTCAAATTAAAACATAAAAACATTCAACATATCAACTGTTATCAGTATCTACCAAGCTAGCAATACAATTACGTCTACAACATAATTCATACAATGTCCAAAACCTTAACATTCAAAACAAGGAAAACAGAAACTAGATATATCAAAGTATCCAAAATGTGCTCTATTTAACTGAGACTTGCTCGAACTACTTCAACACGCATTATATCAAAGAATGATGGTGGGAAAAATCTCCTCGACAAAATGTTCCAACAAAATGTCATCTCCTCCAGCAAAGCAACTATTGACCTGTAAGAAATAGCAAAAGCCAACAAAATAACAAATGAACACATGCAAAATCAAAAATTCAAAAAAAATAAAGTTTCCAAGCAACTAGTAGAAGGTAAGAGAGTCAAATCCATAAACACATAAAAAAAAATATATATTAGAATTCATAAAACGAAGGACACACTAATTAAAGCATCTCACAACCAAGACAGACAAACGCAGGTTTAAGATGATAAACATTATGCAAATTATAAGCATCATTTCACTGAACATCATAGATATAGATTTACCAAGACAGACAAAAATTATTTAAAGACAAACCTGAAGTCTTGCCCGGAAGTCTTGTCTTCCACCATTTAACCTGTAAATAAAGCATTAAGTATCTGTAAGGAGATGCAAGTTATAGATACATACCTGCTGCAGGAAGGCAGAATTATTGGAGCCTAAATAGCAAGAATCTATAGGAACCTGAAAAGGAGAAAATTTGTGACACTTTGAACATTCATTTTGAACTTAAAAACCATCAATCAAACACAGCCATAAGACGGGAAAAAATAAGCAAAGTTTTACTCACATCATCAAGAGACGGATCCCAAAATTAATGGAAAAGCCACCAAGGAAAAACAAGGTTGTAATCAACCTCCACACCTACAATTAAGAGTGAAATCAGAAGAGAGTTTTACTCATAGTAATAAGAAAACTTAGTGAATAAACATGCAATGTCTTGATTAAGCAACAAAATACATAATTAACGCCTATCCATACCTGAAAACGATGAAATACATATGGGTAATACAAGGCAAGATCTAACTTATCATAAAGTCCCAGTTGATAGCCCACAGTTGTCAACAAGCACAAGGTCCCATAAGCCTTATGGGCGGCAGTGACTTGTAGTACCTGGACGAAAGAAACAGTAAAGGATTGAAAATTAAAATATAAAAATAGCCACAGAACATTACACTCACAGGTGACGGGATAAATAATAATGAACACAGGATAGAACAGAATGAAGAAATTTGTTCTTTATTAGATATCCTGCTACTGTTTTTATAAGTACTATTGTTTTTACCTCTTCAGAATAGCACAAAAGAGATAATGAGATCAGATGGAACTGATAGATGTATCACACTTGTTTCTCAAATTGATGCCTCACACCAAGTCCAAGGCGTTACGGATTAAAGCCCTAACCTTTACTATCAACACAATAATATGAAAGAAAAAGCAAATAATAACACAATATCCCCCCTCGTTTCAAAAGCTACACCCACCACCAGCCGCCACAGAATTAAGAATAAGATTACAACTTACAAGAGCATCACACAACTCAAGCCTCTCAAACTCTGTTTTTTCCCCCCAACCTCTCATATCCAAAATCAGAACCCCATGACGGCAACTGAAAATATAAGTGAAAAATCTAGAATAACCTTAAGCTACACATACTTTGGGCCAAGGCAGTAATTAGGCTACACACACCGCACAATGCAGCACGTAAACTAATTTTTTCCTCTTTTATTTTGGAGTCTATACTCGATGAAAACTCGAGTAGTGAACCAGATATATATACAATGAACTAGACAACTATTTACTCCTCAATGTATAATCATTCTATCTAGAGCCTAAAGAGCAAAAGTTTTCCGCCAAAACGAAGAATTTTCAATACCATATAACTCAATGCAACCA